GTATGGATTGGCATTAGTTATTCTTTTCCCCGCCATTTTAGTACTTTCTCTAGTTTTCTTTCAACCTGGCAGGATCGCTCTTGACCGCCCCTTTTGTAAGAGTATAATTGAATAAATATCTGATTAAAAGTACAACAGTGACGTCACTATAATCGTCACGTCGCGCGCGCGGAAGTAAACGCTTGTGCATCAACAAAAACATCTCTATGCTACAAATTCTATTATATGATATATATAAAGTAAAACAAATAAATTAGTTGGTCTTTATTATTTCTTTTAATATAATAATAAAAATGACAGAGCAGAAAAGCAGTAATGTTGGCATGCTATTACTTTTGATATTATGTGATATGCACTTACACTATCATTACGCATAATAAAAATTTAAAAAATATTTTATATAAACAAGACAGGCTAGGATGGGTGGTGTAACCGAAATTATTCTACATGCAAAAGTAAGTTGAAAATATCGAATAAAATTATTCTACAATATCAGGCAATTTATTATTTAATATTATATATGTACATTATACATATTTATTATTTAATATATGTACATATATAAATATTTTTGAAAAGTTAAAAACCATTTACATCTTTAAAATGTACTTTATATATTCTAGACAAAAAAAAATAGCAATCCATAGTGGCTTTACTATAAGTCAATATATGTTGTCGCCGTTTTTTCGCTGATTATCCGCCACTTTTGGCGTACATTTTCAATGGGAACTTATAAATAATCTGCTAGCGGTGCCTGTATGTATCCATGCTAAAAGTACCAGTGGTGTCTGTGTGTAACGTTAGGGGTGCTTGTACGTATCCTTGAACGATGCGGGGATTCGAACCCTGCGGTGACAAGCTGAGCTCTTTATACTAAGGAGCCACTGTGGATTGCTACATCTTTCTTTCATGAAATGAGGGGATATATTACATATGTTAAAAACTTTATAAAATTATAAATCTGTTTTTATACACAGGTAAAAAAGTATTACTTTTGCATGTAGAATAATTTGATTATTTAAATATCCTCCATATTGGTTATCTTGTTTATATCAAATATTTTTCAATTTTTACTTGATGCGTAATGATAA